GCTGAAGGAATGACTGGACTTCAGGTTACTGAGGAGAGTTTGAAACTCGAAATGAATTTTATTCGAATCAAAATCATCTAACCTATGTGAAAGAGATGTGCATATATCCCAAACATCATGGATACGGATGATTTTTTGATAAATTCACGACTCAACAAGAACAGAGTATGTATACTAGTATATTTCTCCCATACATTCCAATTTTCATACCAATTTGGTAAGTAATATATTTTTTATATCGTTATATTCATCATAGTATTCATCCGATTCTGGAAGAGAATGTCAATTCTCAATTTCAGACGATATTCATTTTATGCTCAAATTCCTATCGTGTATGTTCAATTGATATAATTCAATGTTCGTCGTGGCATATAGCCAGGAAAGTAGTTGTTTTCTGTTGAATATGCCGAGAAAGAATTAATAATTTCATCACATAGAGAATGCGAATTCTCAATGTATTTATTCAAATGTATCCATTTTTTCATGTTTATAATATATCTGAGAATATTCCTTTTCAATACAGTGTGATCATGTTTATTGTTATTTATTCTATTTCCTTTATTTTTCTTTTTTCAATCATCTACTTATTATCAAACGATTTTTTCATATATATTGACGAGGGTAAACATTTTACAATGTAGCAACACTATAAATAAATACAAATACAAATACGTTCAATTGAATTGAAATTTGTGACAGGCGCGTGCATAGTTCTGGCAAAAATGCTTCATGAACTTTCTAAAAATTAGTTTTTGGGGTTTATCAAGTCGGAGGTTATGATTCTTTCGTCAAAATTATAGAAGATTTGTAATAAATAATAGTTCAAAGAACTGAAGAAACCCGGTCTAATTGATAGCCATACTAAAAAGGAGTAGAAAATGAATGGTAGTTCACAAAACTGAAGAAACACACCCTCATAGATAGCCAAGCTGAGAAGGTGTGAAAAATAAAAAAAAATCGAAAGAAACACACCTTTATATGCTCATGAATGTAGGACTAACAGGTGAAGAACTAGATCAAGTTGAAAATAGACCAAATTTGCGTATTTCGCAAAAATAGTGTTTCCTGTCGGTTCTGGTATAGATAATTCATAATATACGCATTTCCTGAAGAGAACAGGGGTATATTTAAATCAACTATGTACAAAAATGTTTTCACACCTGCCGCTTATTATTCGTGAGGAATGGAAAAACCAAGTTTTTCCCAAATACCACCAGATAGAGAATGAACCCTGGAGCGAACACGATCTTTCCCACCACCAGAACCGGATTATTCAGGGTACAATCAGAGAAATAGTCGGTAATGAATAACAAACGTTCATTGAAATAGGCTCCAGTCACTACATTCATATCAAATAATATCACAACAAAATTGTTTTTTCTACTCACATAACTAAAATGGCATTTATCGTACAGATATGTACCACGCTAAATGATCGATTAATCACGAATTGTCGATCTGTGATTTATTCAAAATATTAAACACGTTACCATGGCAACACGATTTCTTAAACACATTACCATGGCAACGCAGTTCATTAAACACAGCCTCAGTAATTTGAGACATGTCTGGTATGTCAATTGTATTAACTGTCAACTGTTATTTTCGAATTTTGTATCAGAATTATTCAAACAATATTCGTTTGTATCAGAATTCTTCATTGAAAATATATGCGAAAAGTAGACGAAAGTGAAATCGAAGAGAATGTTCTGGTACTATATCTCTAAGAAGTGTGAAAATGAAGCATCCATCTTTGAGAACAATTTATTTATTCTGCGCTAAGCATGACAATAAACGTGAAACAAAGGTTAGTATGCAATGGACTGGACACATCTACAACCAATATCACTTATACGTGTCTCGCTGGTTGCATGCAGTTGCATGTATTATGTTCTCACTTCCCATTCCTTTCGAATTATTTTGTAGGTTAGCAGGAATTGCAGGTATGTTAATGTAATTTTCGGAGTTCGTAGAAAAATCATAGTATGTAACGCGTTTATAAACTGTTCTAGACACTCGTTCATTGAACACTCGCTCCGCTCTGCTCCGCTCGTGCTTAAACTACTCGTTAGTAAATGGACGTTTATAACACTTGTTACATAATATACTATTATACTATACTATTAGTATCATCCTATTTTGTAGTGGTTAAATTCTTGATATAGTATATAGTATATACAATTTTAATGTTGTGTTATTATCGAATGAGTGTGACTGGCGCCTATTTTACTAATTGTTTGGTCTTTACTACCAACTATTTTTCTTAGTGTGTAGTTTTAGCGACGATTAGATTGTAAATTGAAGGGCTACCCTCAGTACTTTCTTGACGGTTGTTTTCTACCTCAGCAAGCGTCAGGTAGACCTGTTCTAGGTGAGTCAGCCGCGGATTTGTACTAGTTCTTACTTGTTGATAAAGATGAAGCAAGTAGGAAGCTAGAGCATGTAAAAAATTCACCAAAGTTGCGTACTTTGCGAAAAAATACATGCTTAGTCGGTTTTTGCAACTGTAAATCAGGAGATGTGTAGATGAAAAAAAAAGTTCTCTGGTCCTAATTTCTACCTATTTCTACCTATTGAAGAGGATTATTCTCAGATATAATAATTATAAATATAACTAAAACTATAACGAACTGACATCTGAGAATTATAATTTATTGAATATTGTGAATATCATGAAGAATGTCTGAAAGAATGTGAATACTTCAGGTTACTGATGAGGATTTGATATCCGAAATGAGTTTTATTCGAGTGGAGTCATATAACCTGTTTGTGAGAGATTCAATTCCCATATCACTGATACGAATGATTTTTTTTTATTTCTAAGCTCATCAAGATAAGAGTTCATACAAGTGTACTTCTCCTATACATTCCCAATTTTCATTTCAATACTGAATATATTGGTAAGTTAATAAGTTATATTTTTATATCATGATACATCATATTATTCTATTCGATTTGAGAGAATGTCAATTCTCAGCTTCTGAGGATTTTCATTTTTCATACTCTCTTTTTGGATGTTCAACAGATATTATTCAATTTTCGACGTGGCAAATAGCCAGGAAAGTAGTTGTTTCCTGTGGAATTTTCAGAATGATATTATGTGCATATCTTTATATGAAGGAGAATACAAATTCTCTACTTCAGAAGATTTTGTTTTCAAGTTCTTGTCTTGTGTGTTCAATAGATATAATTCAATGTTCGCACCAGCACAAAAATAGTAGAACAGTTAGAGACTCAGAAACAATAATTAATAATGAATTCAAAATGTAATACATATATCAACAGGATGATGCCTGATTATGTTCTATACCAGTGATTCAAAGATTCTGGTAAAACAAGTTTCTAAATATGTTAGTAAATTTAGAAATGAACTCTCCCAAACATTTTAGTCAGATTTGTTGCAATCACAAATAGATCTTTGGAACAATGAATGGAAAGAAACCAAAAATGAACCTATAATAATATATCCAAAGAAACAGCCTTAGTTACTTCACAGCATTGCAGTATCGAAATATTTCCCACTATTTATACACTCCTGCAAATAAAATCTGTTATGCCGGAGAGTGTGGCGAGTGCTGAAAGATCATTTTCAATATACATACTTAAGTAAGACACTGAAATCATGGTTGAGGTGTACAATGGGTCAGGCTAGACGGATTAACTTTATATTAAATATTCATGGATATATTGATATAGATTTAGATACTGTACTCGATAGGTTTTCCTCGAGGTTTTTAAAGCAATGTAAAATACTTTGTTTTATAATCTAGTCATTCTGAGATATAAAAACAGATACTGATTTTATAGAAACGAGTAGAGAGAATCCCAAAGAATCAAGTGAAATTGATATAAAAACAGCTTTAATAAAAGTTGAAGCTAATAAACCATCATTTTGTGTTGATTTATTATACACTGAAACGCGTTTTACTACTAGACAACCCCCAAATTATAATTTAATTTCCGCTACTGAGTACCCCCCCCCCCCTAGAAAAAAAAAACATACCTACGCACCTGAATGTTCGTAGTGGCATATAGCCAGGAAAGTAGTTGTTTTCTGATTGAATAAACCGAGAAAGAATCAATATTTTCATCAGATGGAGAATGCGAATTCTCAATGTATTTCTTCATATTCAGGGTGGCATTGAAATAATTGCAAATATTCCAAACACTGAGAAAGCTCCACGTGTACTATCGAATGGGACTTATAAAAGATTTAGGGATCAAAATAAAATTTGAGGTTAGACTCTTTTTTCCACCCAAAGTTGTACAATGTAGCTAATCTGTTCAAATTTCCATGCAGTAGGTACAATCACACGGACTTCAATCATTCGAATTGTTTTGAAGTGGCGTAGTTGATTTTTTTCTCGTATTTTGTTCAATTTTTGGGACGAAATTTCTCGTTAGTTAGAAAAATTAGGAGAAATCTGATATCATGGAAATATTCCTAAGACTGTCTCATATTAATGTGCTGAATATGTGCACTTATTCCAAAAACTCCTTCTTGTGTTCATTATTATTTTATCTGAAAATATCTCTCTTCAATACTTTCGCCCAATCAAGGGGTCCAAACTTGAACGATGGAAACTTATTTTCATAGACCCCAATCGCAGATTCGTGATTAGGTATTCTTAATTCGGAATTTCTTTCCACGTCCGGTATGAAGAATATCAATTCATCATACATCCAAAAATGCTTCTACCCAACTAACAGTTGCAACTGTTGATCAGGCAAATATTCGTGAAAAAGAAGTTTTCTCAGAATGGCACTTGAGACGCGTCGTTCATTTGTAGCTGGCTGTTGGACCAAAAATCTTTCGGGGATTTCATTTTCTCCGTTCGTACTCACATTTCTAATATTGCCTGCGATCGAATAGTGCATTAGATGATCTAGATCCTCGCCTTAAATTTCAACAACCGATTCACGTCAATTAAATTTTTTTGAGGTTAAGAAATTACACTTCTCGTGTCCATGTCCAAAGAATTACCTCAACCTGTTATAACTTGTACAGCTACAATGATATAGGACGTTATATTCGCCAACATGAATCCTAAAATCGTGAAATCTATGGCGAAGAAGCTCGATGCTGTTAGTTGAGGTTGACGACGAGTAACCTGATCCGCCAGCTGGATCATTTCATCTCTGAGAACATCGTTCATTTCAAGATTATTCACAACTATGCTCTGGCAGATGTCCTTGGTCCTTTTTGCTTCCCTAGAAACGAAATCGCCAGTCGCTGCGAAGCATATAGTCACCACCTAAAATTGACACAATAAAGTTTTATAGTTATTCATTATACAAGGGAAAAAAGTAGTAGATTTTAGCTCCAGGTTGTGTTGTCTCCCGACGCGTAGCGGAGGGAAACAAAAAACCGTGAGCTAAAATCTAATATTTTTCCCTTGTATAACACACTATTATTTTCTGTGACAGAAGGAAGAACGAATCAATATTGAGAGGATATTACATTATTTTGAAATCTGTAAATTATCGACGTGAAATTTTAAGTTTTCAACAGTAGGGACACCTGATGCGTTGTAGGCATCTTTATCATGCTTTTGAAGTAATCAAATATCTGATCTCACTTCTGTCAGTCTAATACTGTGATTTGATTTCAAAAAATTGCGAATTTAGTGGTTGTTTAGTAATATACGTAACCGCGAAGTCGTATGGAAGATAAAAGGACTTGCAGTTCTTTCTGGGAGACGTTATTTATTGACTCATTTTTAGGAACTAATTCACACCAAAAGCCATCAACAGGGTGTTTCACAGGTAAAGGGAAATATTACAATGGTAGATAGGGATCACCAAGGTGGTTCTGGAAATACCATATTTGATAGGTCTTAGATTTCTCATAACGAAGATACAGGGCGATTTATCGATTTCGAATAATTATTCATTCGTCTATGAGTATTGAACTACCCAGTATATTTTTCTAAAATTTGGTATGGAGCTTAAACTTGGGACGTTGGATTCATTCAACTATCGGGCGAAGAGAAAATCCAGGTACGGCTTCAGGAAAAATTCACATTTATTCGAAATATTAAAATAGCACACTGTATATGTAATAATTGACAGAGTTCATCAAAGGAATCGTAAAGAGGAGGAAAAACTGAACTGGATTTGATGCTTTTTGTTTTCCCGCCACCAATTCTCATTGTAACAATCATAAAAAGAAAGCTGAAAGTATGTCAATTTGAAGAGTATTGAAATTATGAAACCAGTGTCAATTATGATTATTCGATATATTTTGGTCGAAAAATCGCTCGAAAGAACTTACTTAAGTCTCAAAGTTTTTATAACGGAGATACAGGGTGAATTATCGGTTTTGAATAATTATTCACTCGTCCATAAGTAGGTATAGAACTACCCAGTAACATTTTCTCATATATGGTGTGTAGCTAACTTGGGACGATGGATTCATTAACCTATCAGGCGGAATTATCATTCGATAATTCACCCTGTATCTCTGTTATGAAGACTATGAGACTATTTCTGAAGCTGAACCTGTATTTCCATTCTGCCTGATAGGTCAATGAATCCATCGTCCCAAGTAAGCTCAATACCAAATTTGAGAAAATATTACTGCGTGGGTAGTTTAATACTTATGGACGAGTGATAATTCACCCTGTATCTCTGTTATAAAGACTGTGAGACTAAGTAAGTTCTTTCGAACGATCATTTAACAATAAGAATATATCGAATAATCATAATTGAAAGTGGTTTCATAATTTTAATACTCTTGAAATTGACATACTGTTAGCTTCCTGTTTATGATTGTTACGATGAGAATTGGTGGCGGGAAAACAAAAAGCATTAAATCCAGTTCAGTTCTTCCTCTTCTTCACGATTCCTTTGATGAACTTTGTCAATTATTTCATACAGTGTGTTATTTTAATATTTCGAATAAATGTAAATTTTTCCTGAAGCCGAACCTGGATTTTCACTTCGATAGGTGAATGCATTCAACGTCCCAAGTTTAAGCTCCATACCAAATCTTAGGAAAATATACTGGGTAGTTCAATACTTATAGACGAATGAATAATTATTCGAAATCGATAAATCGCCCTGTATCTCCGTTATGAAAAGTCTAAGACCTATCAAATATGGTATTTTCAGAACCACCTTGGTGATCACTATCTACCATTGAAATATTTCCCTTTACCTGTGAAACACCCTGTATATGTGATATATATCCGGGAGAAAAGTACTCACTTTCTTCTTGTAATTTATGAAAAGTGACATTTTATAACCTGCCAAAACGATTTCACTTTTTCGCACGATTTTTACTTTTTCGCAGAATTTTATCGGGTGTAATACTACTAGAGTCCCTGTATATACCTTAGACAAGAGTCCGGACACAAAACTGACAGCCGTTGGGGTTTTTGATATTTTGTTTCATTTGGTTTGCCCACCTGATAATGTGACGAAACATCATAGTCGTCCGCCCGCTTTTTTGAAATTATTTCGAATTTCTGTCGCTGTCACTTTGAAATTTTATGACCGCCAAAATTTAGCATTTCAAATTATTTCAATGTCCTGCTGCCTACACTATTGCGATAATTCATTGGAAAAGGGATTCAAGTTATTCAATTTTCCGAATGATTATGGAAGAATGCAATGCGAAACGTCCAGAATTGAAAATTAATTTCAAGAAATCCGCAATATGTGAGGTAAATATTAAAATTTACTTGTAAAAACAGGAAGAATTTTATGCCCATTTTGATAGAGATTCTTTCAAGCTGATGGATTTCAAATTGAAAGAGTCTGCTGTGCCGTCAATTTATGAAATAGAGACGTTCAAAAAAAGATTCCCGTCGTCATCGTATTGGGAATTACTGAATGATACGATCGCAGAGAAAGTAAATGAGAATGAGATGATGAGGAAAGACATTGAAAGTTTGAAATCAAAACTAGAAGATTTAGAAAAACTGCAATGTGCTACGTCGTCAGTCCACGCTGTTTTTAATTCTTATCAAATTCAATATTTACAGGTGAATGTAGACTGCAGGAAGAGGTGGGAAACCTACACAATTAATAAAGCACTCGCTATCAAATATATTGTTGTTTTGATTTTGTCACTTTTATTTCTGATGAGTGTTATTGGATTGAGAGAATCGGAGAAAATTATTATCTTTTATTTCTTTGTATACCAACAGAAAACAACTATATTTTCTTGGCTACATGTGATACCACGTAGAACACTTAAATTATCTTCCTTATATCTAATAAAGTGAAGAAATATCTGATGACGAAAATTTGCAATAGCCATCTCAGGAATTGATTATGAAAATTATCGATTCGAAATTTGAACACCCTGTTGTTCATTATTTGAAAATTTAATAGTTATTCTAGTTAAAATAGCCCTATTTCTCACTTCTACCTACGGCTATGAACGGTTTGACAAATAATCTAACCCTCAAAATTGTTTCTGACAGTCATTGATACCTACTAGGGAAATTGAAAAGACAGAGCTCGATATATATGTCTTATTCCTTTATTCAATCATCAATGCATTTTTTGAAAACAGAAAAGGACAGAAGTATAGCTGTGTCCGGACTCTTGTCTAAGGTATATACAGGGACTCTAATACTACGAGAGCTCAGATCTAGCAAGATATTTTTTTGTGGTTGTTTTCGAAAACTTACTTCCATTGGCAAATCGAGAGCGTGAACATTGTTTTCATCACGTTGGTATTCTTTAAAATTTTACACATTCTGTTCCTTCATATCGAAGCTCCAGTTAGTCCAGTTCATCAATATACCTACCACATTTTCCACAGAGTGTTCGGTTCACAAGTTTCATTGTCTACAAAATTCGCTAAATTGGTTCCAAATAGAGAAATTGGTTCCAAATAGAGAAATTACTTCTTCTTGTATTATCTGGAGTCGATTCAATCTCCTTCTGCCTCGAAAATATTTTCAAATCTCCACATATTTACTGAACTATCATTTGCTGTTTATTTCTGTTCTTGACATTTATATTTGTCAAACTGATGCGACGCGCATCACCTGATACGAATAGTAAATGCTGGCATTATTATAGTGAAGTAATTTACCAGATTTTTTCATCCATTCGCATTTTAGTTCCTGCCTGTTTGAGTGGAAATGTCAATACAATCATGCGGAAAGGTTACTTTACCGGAAGAAGGACATCGCGATTTTATCCGATAGCCAAGCAGCCATCAAATCGTTGAGCTCTCCTTACATCAACTCGAAGATGGTATGGGAATGCATAAGCAAATTGAATGAGATAGGCAGCAACAATGAAGTGATCTTCCTCTGGGTGCCAGGGCATATTAGAGTGGACGGGAATGAACAAGCAGACACTCTGGCACGACAAGGAGCTTCAACGCCACTAATCGGACCAGAGCCATTCTGCGGCCTTGGAAATTCCTATTTCCAAGGAGAACTTGAGAAGGCGGAAGGAGCCTGGAGAGCCAGACAATGGATAAGACTTCCAGGACTACGGCAGGCTAAAGATCTCCTTGGAAATTTCAACCGAGAAAGTTCTAAGACACTGACAATCCTCAGCAAAGGAAGTCTCAAAGCAATAACGAGATTTCTAACGGGGAATTGCAGACCCAAAGAACACCTAAGGAAGCTATGCTTACAGGAGGACGGCACCTGCAGATTCTGTGAGGAAGAACCAGAAACACCTCATCACATACTGATGGAGTGTGACGCTGTAAATCACAGAAGATTGAACATACTAGGAACACACCAGCTGACTGTGAAAAAAACACCACAGCTAGACCCCCTCAAAATCCTCAAATTCCTGAAGGAACTGAATTTCGAGTGGCTGATATGAACAAGAAATCCTTGATATAGCAGAAGTAGATGGGGCAAAATAGATCGAATTAGGGCGCAGCGCATCTGTCATCATCCAACCTACTACCAATACCAATACTTTACCGCACTAGTGCTGAAATAGAACTTTACGATACGAGTATCGTAAAAACTCATACGATATGAGATGGAAAAATTGTCGAACGAGGCCGAAGGCCGAATTCAATAACCCATCGATTATCGTTATATGAGTTTACGATACGAATATAGTACAATATTTTACCTACTACCAGAAAGCTAATTATCAAATCAAAAATATTCAATCTTCCTTGAATTGACGATTCATTAGGAATGTGTGTGGTTGTCGTGAATCCATTGTGTTCTCGGTTGTTACTCATTCGGCGAACTGTCAACTTTGACACGTAAATTTCAATTCGAAAAAAAAAAATCATTGGCATGAATTTGGATCAGGAGAGTTCAGATTCCGATATAGAAATTTCGGTGAATGCAGCAATCGAAACTTTAGTACCTGCTATATCCATGATAAATTGGTTCTTATTTTTTTTTTTTGAGTAAAAACACAAATTTGAAATTATATTTTTTCACTTAACCGCTCAAGTGTGGTGAAGTATTCAATTAGGATACTAAAATCAGTGTCGTAATGTTTGGTAGTAGGTAAAATCACTTCTGCGCACAATTTTTGTATTGTTGAAAATGCTTATATCTAGGACTTATTACTCAATGATCCATGAAACTTTTCTGTCTTATGTGTCATTCAGTAGCCTTATTATTATTTTTCCTGGTTCTGTTTCCCACGAGAAGAGATATCCTGTATTGTTCAGAGAACATCGTGAGAACCAAGAGAAATAAGGTAGGAATTGGTGTTCTTCTTGAATTTCTGGAAGTTAAATTCTTCGGGGACCGCCTCCCTTGGCAATGTGTTCCAGAGCCTCGCTATTCGTTGGATGAACGAGTCTTCCGAAAGAGATATTCTGCAGGTTTCCAAAGTGACCACGAAGGGGTGCCAAGCCTCAACTCGACGGGTTAGTCTCGCGGGGACTGCCAAGGGAGGAACAATTGTTGATATTTCAGAAGAGCATCGTCCATGAGAATATCTATGAAATAGAGCCAGATAGCCAACTTTTCTACGATGTTTCAGAGAAGTGAGTGAGTTTGTGAGCGAAGCATCAGCCACGAAACGAATCGCCTTTTTTTGGACAGAATCCAACAGTTTCAGGGTATGTTTGGGTGCTGCATTCCACATATGGAAACAGTTTTCCAGGACAGGTCAGATCTGTGTCTTATAGATCATGAGCAGCTGACTGGAAGTGAAATAGTTTCTGGCACAGTTTTTGGGATGCACTTTTAGCAAATTGATCTCACGAGATTTTCATCGGATTCTACAACATACTGAAAATTCAAAAAATTTCACCGACAATCATTCTACGTACTGAAAGTGCAGGGTCCTTCAAAACTGAAGAGACGTTGGCGTACAATGATATTTACAATACATATCCATAAAGTCTAGCACTGCAAGTCTACTGGACTTTTTAGGCCGAATCTCATCACTGTTAACAAAACCACTGAAATCGATCGAAATAAGCAGAAATACTTATGTAAAAATAATATAGAACAACAATTTCACATGAATTTATTATATTGATTTTTCTAAATGAAAGCAAGTTATGGGTTGGAAATTTTTACAAGAGATTTTTTACATAATCACACCTCTAAACTTTTGGCAACACACTGTATGTTTCATTCTTCTTCACTATTGAAATGCACTCCAATAGTGGAATAAGTCTAGAAATATGGATATGGGGTGAATTTCTGATAAAGGTACTTACGAAAGAAGCTATGATGTTGAAAAAATTGAATTGCAAAGTTCCACTGAATGATTCATCTTTGAAGATTGCTTCAACTATGACGGTGGTATTATTCACAATATCTACTATACAGAAAAGTACATGAAAGAGAACTGGAATGCCAAATATCTGATTCATCTCGCCAATCAACTCACACAGATGATTATACATCCCTGCAATTTTGTGTAGTTCTTGATCAGGTTTTTCTTTGGTTTTTCGCTCTTCAACTCCGAAGCCAATGAATGGAAATGTCGAGATTCGACTAGAATTTTTGAAAATTCTCAGTAGCGAAGAATTCAGATACTTCAATCTCCTGTATATCTCTATAGCAAGCAAGAGCCACAAGAAAATGAACGTGTCCATTTGGAATATTTGGAATACTGATGGGATATAGATAACGTAGATGCTAACTGATTCCTTTCTAGAAAACAGCCATAAGTCCAGTAACATAGAAATAAGAGTAATCAAATGAAAACCAGTAAAGCAGAACAAATACATAATTTTGTGTTCCTTGAAAGGAAAGGAGACCTTCTTATCAAAATGTTTAAAGCGACTGAAAACACGATATAGTTTCTGTGGGTGGATGAAGACTGAGAATAAACTCACTGAAAATGTGACCAACGTTATGAAGAGATCAGATGCTTTTTCTGTTATCCCAGTGATACCTGGAGTAATTTCCGATTTCATGTAAGAAAGAATAAGGAATGATGGTATTGAAGCTAACATCAATAACAAGACATACATATTATGTAACTTGGACTTGTTAGGAGGGGGCGTTATCCCAAGAAAAATGCCTATTCTCAAAATATAATTGACGGAGACGAACATTGTAGGTTTGGTGAAATCAAACATATTGTTGATACCGTAGGACACCTTATTTGTATATTCGATTATTTTGAATGGATCACACTGAAAATTAATTCATGGTAACTGCTATGATACCAACATTTCGGGATCTTTTATACCTCTCGTGGCTCTCGTCATATTATATTAATGAATTCGATAGAACATGGAATATCGTGATTTGCATGAACGAAAAAACCAAGATAATTACCTAATAACACTCTTTAAACTCATTATACCCGGATTATTTCAGTCAATATATTGTATCAGTTTGTAGAAAAAATATTTTCTATGCAACGTCATTTACACATGCAAATTGAAAGATAACCTACTCAATATCACACCAAAGAGAATCTTTTACTCCAGGAACACAATTTCATAGCATAACCTGGAATTAATAGATGAAACACCTAAAGTCATCTCCACAACTGTTATCAAAATGATCAGAGATCATTGAAGGTACATGTTTCGGACTTATATAAGCCCATCATCGGCCGATAATTATTTCAAAGTTCTAGAAGAAATCGGAATTGACTGTTTTCTTACCCACATGGAAGTGGTAAAAGTACAAATTCGAATGAAGTATGGATAATAACAGAGCAGACAAAGGCAAATGAATGCTCCATGATCTGAAAAACAAACAGTGAATTAATTTGTGTAGGAAGTTCAGAATAGGAAAAACTTGTATATGGGTTCAGGTCGGGTTCATATTCAAAACCACGCGTGCCCTTAAATCAACGAGAAGTGGCAATTACCCCCAAGAAAATATCAAATTATTAAGACTATGATGTGGCTTCGGAAATACCAAGTAACCAGAAAATAAGCGCACGCCACCTATCGAAGTTCTTGAAAGCTGTCAAAGCGGCCAGTTTTATTTGTTTTTATTAGTTCACATTCGTTTTTGTTTGTGATTATTGATCATATCATCAAAACTAACCCTCAGGGAGAGCATTAACCAAACTAGACGTAGCTTATTTTGACTTATAACATTAGAGCAACGTAGTAATATGTCAGATTTATTATTCGTCCACAAAATACTGAGGAATCACTATAACTCTTTCGTGTTATTATTCATCTCATGGCATGTACCATCTAGACCCACAGGACTAAAAATATTTTAAAACGTTAATTTTCGTCACACTTTGGGACTGAACTCGCCAATAAGTTGCTATAGTGACAACTTCAAGAAATATTGCAGCAACGTAGACACACTTATTGTACATCATTGAGTCAGTTCAATACTAATATCAGAAATAGCTATTTGTGTATTTAGAGCGCAAAGTGATAGATTGCCGCTCGACAAAGAAAGTTACCGCGCGATGCGGAGCGGAGTGCGGTAATCTTTCGAGAGCGGCAATGACACTTTGTGCTCGAAATACACAGAAGATTTTTTCTACAAACGCAGCTTAAAAAAAACACATGATACGATATTCAAAATAATATATGGGCATATAATAAATAAATAACTAAATATAAAAATACTTCAAGTCTCAACACATTGAACACTTTTCTTGGAAATATTTATTTCAATTTATCACTCACCATATTGAAATTGAATGTGCAATTATGGCAATCTCTAATATTTATCCTTGAACCAAACCCTCCTGAAGATTGGAAATCTACGCAATGAGATGTAGATGGTCTTGAAATTTTTTTTGGTAGTTTCGATCTTATTTTTGATTGATTCATCAATATACCCTTCTGCAACATTTTGCTACTTTTCCATCCACCATGTTTCTTCAATTGTCTCCTCCGCGGTTCACCAATCAAGTTGCAGAGGTAATTTCAAATATCTTGCAATGTCACTAGGAATTTTTCCGATTATATTCATACCCACAACATGTTTCACACATCAACCCTTTGTGAAACGTAAAAGTAAACGTTGAGAAGTATCATTATTCTGACACTGTAGTCTGATTGCAATGTATTTTTCACAAATTGATAGATAATCAATTGAATTTTCTTAATTATTTACTATTGAAATAGAATCTTCATCTCCAATTTCACTGATCTGCTGCCCTGAAAGTATTAGCGATTGAAATAGTTCTTATCCATTAACCCATATGTCCAACGAAAAAAAAAATTGAAACACTGTTTTTCTGATGATAACAAAGAGTTTAAATATTGAGTATAATTTACCTTTTTTAACAGATATTCTTCATCGGGAGCTTCTTGTAAAAATTTGTTGATATCTTCAGCGGTGAATGTTTTGGATTTTTTCGCTTTATATCCAACAGATTGTTTCTTGAGAAATACGATGAGTTTAGGATACTTATAGTGATTTCGATATTATTTTCAACATTCAAGCATGAAGCCAGTAAAACGATTTTTGAATACTTATTCCGTATTCACCTTCTTGGAGTGGCACCAATTTATGAATGTATCATATTGTAATTCATATTTCTTCCTTGATTTCTCCAGTAAGAGATTCAAAGTTACAACTTTTGCACTTTCTGCTACATCAGGAGGTGTGTTTGATAGTTCACTGTCACTATTTTCCATCATGAAAGAATTGGAGGTTTCCAAGTCTAGGTTACAGCGATATTCGAGCGTTTTTTCAATATTTCCGCTCATGAGCGCAAATGCTGTCACAGAATGACATTTCTGGGAAAACGTCAACTTTGTGTTGGAATTTGAAAGCGTCAAAGGCTACTTTGTTAAGCGTATGTAGAAAAACACACTCTCCTATAATTATCCAAATTGCATTGTGAACATACCTAATAACTGTCAGAAGATGCAGTATTGGGCTTTCTTTTTGCAACAACCTCATGGCAACATTCTCAAAACATCCCAGGAATACTTCCTCAGTACGCAAACAAATAAATGCCACAGAAGAACAAAAAACATACTCTCAATATCCCATGCATGAAGAGCTTTTTGAGAAGTGCATATTACGTCTCAAAAAAACATCCTGTTGCCTAAATTTTCATAGCATCCCAAAACATCCCGGGGATATCTCTCAGTAGGCAAACAAAGAAATTCCACAGAGGAACAAAAACAATCCTTCAATATCCTTTGGAGACCTCTTTGGGTGTATTATGTCTCAAAAAACATCTTCACGCCAACATTTTTATTACATCCGAAAACATCCCAGGGATGTTTGTGCTCGCTGGGAAAGCATTTAAATCTGAACATTTTGGGCACTAAGGACTCATTATTATTTGTTGAATTGAAAAGTGTTTTTTTTTTTCGTGTAGTGTAGTGATGTAGTGTGATCATTGATGCATCAAGTCTTCGGTTGAATATAATGTGTATATTTGTATAATTAGTTGACATTTCAGAATTCAATTATTACATTACAATTCTCAAGGGTATCGTTGTCCAATTCAGGAATGTATAAATTCATATAAGAACTGAGTAATTCTCCTATATTCCTAATGGATCCTGAAATGATCATAATAATATGAACGCAAAGGGTGAATTGTCTTCAAGAAATTATCTATTTTGGATATTATACTAGTAGAAAGAGATAGATTTATTAATGTAGTCAATTTCGTAAGTGTTGGCTCTGAATTAACATTTCAACTTGATAGCCCCATTATAAATAAAAATGTGTCGTTATGAAAATTCTGTGACATGGAATAATAACTCGTACAGATTCAATTATCCTGATAGCTCCTACATAATTACGATTTTCGTGTTGGAGTTTCATGTTATTGTAACATAAGGGATAAAACAATTGTTCAGCTACAAAGTGAGAGTAACAAAGGAATTTAGATTGCTCTTCTCATTCGATTAACCTGGTATATATGGTACATTTTTCATTATATTTTGAGTTGTTTTGTCTCAATAAGTGGATGAAATAGTTATTTACACAATAAGAATATAAAGCGAATATTTTTCGCACACGGGGGACGCGAGAAGATAAGCATCCTCATTCTACAGGAATAGTAAATCATCAGAATCTAGATTCGCCAGAAAATTATTGTATACAGGGTGTTTCATGACAAGACTTACATAGCGAAATGGTTAATAGGGGAAATCAAGACGAGTTGATGTATATATATGAAAACATTTTTCGAATGAGGATACATGGTGTGAAATTGCTATATAACTTTGATGGCCGATATTACAGAAATGATTCATCGTACTCTGCTGAAATTTGGCAGCGACGTATCTCTACTGAAACTATTCTAGATAACATATTATGAAGAAAAAATCCAGGTCCGGACTTTGGAAAATTTCGTGTTTCATTGTTATGTCAAAAAAGTTCACTTTGTGACCACTTTTCTCGAAAAATTCCATCAGATTCAGAAAGATCAGACAAAATGCTATAAGAACTGCTGTCCAATTTACATGGCCCACTTTGACCGGTTCAATAAAAAATATGGAACAAAATCGTTCGAATGAACTTTAAATTTCGATCTGGCTGATAACTGTCAACTTTCAACTGATATCATGTGAATTGATTTTTTCTACATTTTTGTTGAAAAAACACGATATTTTTTTATCGAAATTCCAGATAGATATTATTATTCCTGACTTTGTTTCATGGGTTTCAATTGAAGTAATGATAAGATATCTAGTAGGCCCTGTTTTCCATTTGTGTGACGGGACGTGACGTTCTTGATAATCTGAACTGATAGGTAGGTACTAGGCTAGTACTAGGTAGGTACCAACTGATGAAATTACGACATGAGGATTCATGTGCCCATATTATGGTGATTCATCAAATTAGGTATGCTATCACGCGTAAACTCAGCTCCATTTTTTGTTATTGATACACTTCTGCAAGTGATAAAAGGATGCATTTGCTATTTATTCAAAATTCCTAATGTTCATCCTCGTGAAGATTTCACTGCAACGTATTCTTGGGTCTGGAAATATTCTATGGTATTATACAAAGCATAGCATTTGGATTTTCGTCTTGTTCAGCATTTGAAATATGAAGTGGAACCTATAGTGCAAGAATATTTTGATTACCAGTGTTTACCTATCAACAAACGCCACGTTTCATGAAATGAAAACAGGGCCTACTTTATAACAAATTTATAAAATAGAGTCACGAGTAATCATAATCTATCTGGAAGTTCGGTCAAAAACTAACATGTCAAATCATTAAAAAA